TGCACGGCCGGCGGGATGGGGGGGGGGGGGGGAGGACCCAGAGTGCACTGAGGTGTGAGCTGTGAAGGCAGGCAGCTGTAAAAAAACCCTGTGAAGCAGAAAGATTTTGTGTTTTCCTGCAAAATGGCTCCTGTCTCAGGCAGGACTCCTGAATGTCTGACAGAACCGGACTGGATTCAAATGGTGACGCCTCAGCGGTCTGAATGAGGTTTAGCTGGCTCAGCAACTACTGAGAGTCAGTACGTTGTGCTGTGACTGAAGTCCATACCATATTAACTGTACACAGCATGAGATAACTTCTGTTATGAATTGGCCGCTATACAAATAAAATTGAATTGAATTGAATTGAATTGAATTGATTTGATCCAATTTGATTTTGTAAATGACAATTAAATTTGCCACTACATTTGTATAGCCATCAAAACATTTGCAACCGATGACTTTCAGATTTTTTAGCTTGTGATGTGTTGTTCGAAGTGTCTGGTCACACTAGTTAATAACACTTAGCTAGAAGTAGCTGCAGCCTCTGAAGCTGGCGCTTTGGAGCTGGTGAAAATGCTGCGTCACCCTAACAGATGGCTGGATAGATGAGACGTTTCCTAGTCAAGTTTTGCAAGTTTTACATAAAACCTTTAATGAGCTCTCCATATTCCAGGAAGCCAAAAACATGATCACACTTTGGACTTGATGGAGTGTTGGTGTAGTGCTGAAAATCTGACAGGCGTTTGTTTCCAGTTGGCAGAGTCACTGAGCTGCATTTTAGTATTTGATTTATTTATTTCCAAGTGTAATTTTTTTGGAGCCAGAACGTTTTGATCCAATTATTTCTTACAACTAATCGATGCAGCTGAATCAGCATCACGGATGATTTATGCATTAATGAATACACTCCTCTTGATATCTTTAACAAGTATATGTGATTTCAGCACTATTTTAAAGCGGTCATCTCTGATGTTCTTTGCAAGCCCCACTGTTAAAGATCCCAATTTGAAGCAGAAAAGTGGAGATTTGTTGGAATGCTTTACTGCCCTCCATTTTCAACTGTTTATAATATTTTTCTGTGTCTGCATATTTTCTCTGTGCACATTACTCATCAGAATAAAAAAAGGAACTATGAAAACCTCGACCAACTGTCCTATGACAACAAGCGAGGACCTAAGGTATATTTGCATGGTCAATGCACGCCGCCCACCAACTTTCCAAACGTAGCAACTAGAAACCAGCCCAAACCAGTCACCAGCCGACCCAGAAATGTCCCTCTCTTGGTAGCACGTGTTTTCTTTAATTTTTACTTTGAGACATTCCCTATGATTTAAATGAAGAATGATTTTGTTATGAAAAATCTATAATTTTCGGTCATTACAGAAAAAAAAAAAAAGAAATCAATGAACAGCGCCCCGCTTTTATCATTTTCATTTTCTCCTTCAATAAAGGAATGCATGTACTCAGAACACACACACTCACACACAAAAAGAGTTTGCAAGTCCATTCCTTTGTGGAGAACCGGTAGTGTGGGACAAAACCGTTTCCCAGATGCTACTTCCTCCTGTTCTGTAGCACTTCCCTAGTTTTCAGCAATTTTTTTGTTGGGGGAAAACGTCCCCCTCACCCCCCTTCACCCGTTTTTAGTTACTGGTTGCATTGACCTTCTTCTTCCCCCTACCTAACACATGCACGTCCTTCTTTGGAGCCTTGATAACCCTCAGTTTGCATGCGAACAAATGCAAAAGTTTTTTTTCCCTTCAAGCTTTTTTTTTTTTTTTAGTTCAGCCGGTTCCCCTGGATCGCTTTCCTTTTTATCTCTGTCTCTCGTTTTCAAACAAAATCGGCCAAGCTCGAACCAAGCAGGTAAAGAGGCAGCATGGTGTCGAAGGTAGGGAAAAGTAGCTGGCTTGACCTTTCTTATGCCCCGATCACAGGCAGAGAAAGTCCTCCAGTTCAGCCAGGAGACTAACTTAACTGCCCTGCTGCTGGAGGCGAAAGAGCTGGAGGCCCGAGTCATCATCCTGTCCGCCAGGTGAGGTTTTTATCCAAAATTACACAAACATTTCACCCAAAGTCACAGAAGGAGCAAGGGTGAAGGTTTACCTCACACCTGCCATAATCTATATCTATATCATCTATAACCATCCCAAACTGGATTAATACCATTGTTTGGTCTATAACGTCAGAAACTAGTGAAACATGCCAGTTACAATTTCCTATGGTTAATGTCTTCAAAGCCCATCTTTGATTTATTTTACCTTAATTTTATTTTAACATAAGACAAAGAAAAATGACAAATCCCAAAAATTCAGAACTTGGAACCAAGGATTAAAAAAAATGCTTGGAAAAAAGACTTATATAATGCAGATTTATTTTCTGTTGATCAACTAATCGATTAACAAATAATTTCAACTCTAGCTTAAACCTAATTCAGTTGAAACCTTCTACAGTACCGAGTCTGCACAGTTATACACAACACCCAAATTATGTCCATGTATTTTCTTGACAAATGTGTCAAAAGTTGTATGACTTTTGCTCTCATGTTGTAGCCATACAAAAAATTACATCTTGTGCTGGGATCAAACAACACAATATTTTTGACTTTTGAGACAGCCATTGTGTCATCACAGCCCGTCATAGCTACCGTCCTTCACAATTTACATCATGGTTTCAGGCACTGACTTGACTTGACTACACCTGACAACACTGCCAACAGCACCTCTCTTTTTTCCCCACATTTACAGTTGTGTATGGATCAGTGTCACAGAACATGTCATAGAAATTTTCAAACCAGACCAGACAGGGCTAAAAAAAAAGTAGTCGGGAGGTCATGAGGCGTCCCAGATGCTGCTTCAGTTGCCTTTCACTACGACACTTATTTGGCTGATGTTGTGTAATCTGATCCTGGCATTGGGTTTGAACTTTATACTTCAATATAAGTATCATATAGGTTTGATCAATTGACTCATACATAGTCTTTTTGAAACTAATTAAGGGATCATTTAAAAGGAAAAACAGGGCTCAAGAGAGTAAAAGTTGCATCCAGTAGCTGTATATTTACAGTGCATAACTGCCTAAATGTCTCTGATTCAATACAAGCTGGCCACAAAATGTCTTCCTTACACACAAAAACAATCCTTTGTCTTTCTTTCAACATGGAAAATTCCAGTGAGGAAGATGCTGCTGCAGTGTACAAGGCTGCCCGCTTCCTCAACATGACGGGCTCGGGCTACGTGTGGCTGGTGGGCGAGCGGGAGATGTCGGGTAAAGCCCTGAGCGAGGCGCCAGACGGTACGTTCATTCAGCAGAGATCGGTGGGAATATACGAGTTAACCCCCAGCTTTATTCAGAGGCCGATCATAACACGTCCAGGATTAGGGGGATTAACCATTTAACGATGGATGCATTACAACAAATTGACTGTATAACTGCTTGTTGTGTGTTGAGAATTTAAACGTTTAAGCATTCCATGTTTAAAGGTTTAAATGTGCGGTGTATCTACAGTACGCTCATTTTTTTTTTGTTTAAATGTTTATGTCCTGGATTATCCAAAGGTAAATTCATTGTGCTCTCCTGCCATATTAATACCCTGGTTTCTAATGAATTATAAAGGGAGACTTTTGCAACAGATAACTGATAGAATGGTAAGCTACAACAGCTCTTCTTGTCTATATTTATGGATTTTTCGCACAAGTCTCTCACAGTATTTTATCACTTTGTGGTCACAAACGTCGAGCGTCCCCCCCTCTCCTCCTGGGCACTCTACACACAACCAACCCCTGCAGAGCGTTTGTTGTCCTGTCTGTGTCCAGTCTCTTCCACCTCCACTGCAGCTTCTTCCAGGAGTCTGCAAGACTGATGGACCTGGTTGCAATCAGAAAACTTAGCTGAAGTTGGATTGTTGCTTGGTTTAAATTTAGGTCTGATGGTTTTTGTTTGTTCCTAACACAAATAATGCTTTGCCTGTGCTGATCCCCCAAACCTTAGGTAGGGTCAAAAAAAAAGATCCAACTTCAAGGGACTCTTTATACATGCTGTGAAAAGGTCACGAGTGGCAACATCAGAAAAATGATCCATTTATTCTGTTGCTTCGTCTCATAAAAGACAAGCTGTGGATTTTTTCTGAGTTATCTCCCCTGAGAGTAACAGGCAACGAAGATGCATCATGCAGCTGATGTCTGACCTTTATTCAGGATGTCTAAACTGGAGGCCCTATAAGTTTTTATCCACTTTGTGCATTGCAAAAGGATCCTGAGAGGCTGTAGTCGGCTCAGGTCAATGATTGCGTTTTGTTGTCGGCCTGGTCTCAGGTCTGATCGGCCTCCAGCTCATCAACGGGAAGAATGAGTCAGCCCATATCAATGATGCGGTGGCTGTGGTGGCTCAGTCCATTCAGGAGCTCTTTGAGAAGGAGAATATCACAGAACCACCGCGAGGTTGCGTGGGCAACACCAACATCTGGAAAACAGGGCCACTCTTTAAACGGTAAGCTTATATACACAACGCAACGCCTGGCTTCAGTTCTGTTTTTTTACTGATAAGGATGATAAAGGTGTGATAATTCAGTTATTATGCCAAACAAGTTAATAAAAAAGCAATACTGGATCCCAGCAATTATAAAGATTTTCTTGTCCAGGATTTTTCTCCTTCAGCACTACACACATTTCTTTACACTATGAGACCAGGGAAATATTCTAGAAGTGGGTCAAGAAATAACTAACACTAAAAAGCCTGACTTTATTCAGCGAGATTTCTCAGTTCAAAAACAGATTATTTTAATTGCAGAAATTAAGTTTGCTCAGTTTTTGATCAGTTGAGTCTGAATTGTGCATGTTTTCAATTACCTTTAAAGCTGCACTAATGAATATTTTTTATTTCTTTAATATCAATTTACCAGCTCTTCAGTTCCCCTCAGTCACTAAAATATTTTCCAAATTTTTTTTAATCAGTTTTGTCTGGAAAGCTGCCTTACAGAATTACAAGTTTATCAGGTTCTCCAGAATGTACTAGAAATCCTATATTTGTCACTTCCAACTTTCGAATGACCCAGTTAGATTGGTTTCTCTGCAGCGTAACAAAATAAATGCACTGCCTCCAAACAGATGTAGTGACAAAGACAGCAGATACCATCGCAGCTCAGCAACCAGGCTCCGGCTTTTCAACACAAAATGTGGTGAATGAGTCATTTTACCAGATGAATCGAGAGCCTCGAACTGACCGACACGCAATAAAATGCACCGTTACACTCTTAATAGATGACACAGGATATCCATACATGGACACGTGTGCTCATTCACGCAAATAATCACTTTTATTTGCTTGCCACAGGGTGCTGATGTCATCTAAATACCCAGAGGGCCTCACGGGTCGTGTGGAGTTCAATGACGATGGAGACAGGAAGTATGCCCACTACAGTATACTGAACTACCAGAAGAGTCGACTCATTCAAGTCGGCATATACAATGGAACACAGGTAAAGTGACAGAAGAAGGCAACTTACTTGACATAACTGATTTATAGGAGTTTAAGAAAAGAACTCCATTCCCTATTTTATGTTATCATACTGGACATCCAGCTCCAGTTTTCTATCTATAGTACAATGCAGTTAATGTAGGGCAACTCCACAGTCCTTGCTCTGCAGTTCAGCCAAAGCTAACACAATACTGCAGCAGTGAATTTGAAGGGGTACTTCAAATATTATTTTTTCTGCACTGCATGAGGATTGTAGATTGCACTCAACTCTAGATTGTCTAGTTGTCCTTCATGAGCTCTGGGTATGAAATAGCAATAAAGAGAAAACAAAACATACTATTTTAGAAAGACTAACCTAATTTTTCATTTAGATTTTCAAGCTTTGATGGTTTATTTCAACCAATATGGGTAGTCTTTTGCATTATGTTCATTGTATTGGACTGCCTATATCATGCAATTTTCAAGGCGCTGCAATTTGTACTGAATTTGAAAAACAAATTCAAAAATGTATACTTTGAAAACTGGTCTGCACAGTATATATTTGATTTGAGCATCAAAGTTAATTCTTAACCTTGGAAACGGAGTAACCTCTCCATGACAACTGACTCCATCCACTAATGAAGACAGAGATGTGGTTAAAAGCTACAGGAAAAGCTAGTTAGCTGACCAAGATTTATTTTAAGTGTATTTATTTGTAGTTAAAGGTGGTTATTTAATTGGGCCAACCATGCGAACACAGCAAACAGTAAGGACTGCAAGGATCAGCACTGCAGTTCCCCGGTGATTGGTGTGATAATAAGTTCCTGAATGCCTCAGGTATGATACATAAGTCAGAGGTTGATGAAGTAAATGAAAGAACCGCTGAGCTGTGGTTATATAAAGCTGACTCATTAGTGATGCTCACCCACAGTGTTGGAGCCTCATCAGCAGCACACCTTCTGTCAGCACTCACCTGTAATACTGTATTATATGTGTGGCATCGCTGCAGGTGGTAATGAACAATCAGCGGAAGATCATCTGGCCCGGAGGAGAGACTGAGAAACCACAGGGCTTCCAGATGTCCACTCGATTAAAGGTAGGGTGCCTTCGCTTTGCTGCGGCAATGTGACATTCGTGTCTACACAGATAGAGGACGGACCTGAGCTGATATACTTGCGTTGGACAGTGCGCTGACATTTGTTCCTTGCGGGGAAGTGAAGTTAATCTATTTTCATAAAGGCAGCAGAGATATATTCGCTATGACTTTTATTTCTTCTAATTTGTCATAGGCCTGCAAAGAACCTCTCATATGTATCCTTGGCAGTTATTTTTACAATCATCTGTTTGTCTTTGTGTGTCCATGTGTATCTGTAGAGTTTGTATATGGGTATTTCTGCTGCGTTTTTCCAAGTGTTCTTTTTCTCTCCTGCTGTGGTGCACTGATGTGCCCCGGGGTCGAAATGTATCCAGCTCTGACTATGTGATAAACAGCTTTCTGTCCCATCTGTTGTAGATAGTGACGATACACCAGGAGCCATTTGTGTATGTGAAACCCACTCAGTTGGACGGGACGTGCAAGGAGGAAATGACATTAAATGGAGTCTTAATTAAAAAGGTTATCTGCACTGGGCCCAATGAGACCATCCCAGGTAACACATCAGGGACGTTTATATTATCACTGTGCTTTTACTGCACCCGCCAAACACCCACTGGAGATGCATACATATATATGCAGTAGGTATCTATATATGTATGCATGTAGCTGAGTGTGCCATTCAGAATGAGAGATTGATGTGATGCTGGGACATGCTTGGTCTGTATGCTGTGTTTCTGGCAAACGGCGTGACTGTGTGGTCGTCTGCAGTGCACGGTGTCACGCATCTTGTTCAGTCTACGTGCGCCGCCTTTGGATTAAAACAAAAAAACAAAAAAAAAAGCTAGCATGTTTCCTCAAGAGTGATTGTAACTTGCAACTGTTGCTGGTTTTGTTACAGGACGCCCAATTGTACCCCAATGTTGTTATGGCTTCTGCGTTGATCTCCTGATCAAGTTGGCTATGACCATGAACTTCACCTATGAGGTGCACCTGGTGGCTGATGGGAAGTTCGGAACTCAAGAGCGGGTTAGTTTTACAGCCACACTTGTCATATTCTTGCATGAGGCACAGGTTGCATGCAATATATCACATTCAATAACTTTAATCTTTTTATTTCACTCCCACTCTCACTAATGATCTCACTAACTATTCTGAGCTGAAGCAATAAGCAGAGAGTGGGCACCCACAGATATCAAATGACCAGCAGGTTAATTTGCCCCCCCATCACTGATCTAGTGTCAGTTTTTTAATGTCTACACTAAAGGCTTAGGCAAGCAGCAATAACCATTACTGAGAGGTGTAGTCAATGTGGAAGTACCAATTAGTTGTAATTTGAAAGGACGATAATATCACATAAAACCAATTTGAAAATCTGCCAACAAAAAAAAAAAAAAAGGAGACCATTTCCTTACTGCTGTAAAAGTATAACAGTGTCTAAACAGACTGTAAAACATGAATGTAGTCTCCGTTTCTGAAGAGTCAGTGTGAATCTTAAAGTGTGGTTGGCCCGGTTAATCCAAAAATGGCAAAGTGGAGCATGGGTGGAGCTGAGGCGGCCTGAATGAAGCCTGGTTACTGAAAACAGCAACCTGTGACAGCATCCATTCAAAGTGGCCACATCCTTAATTATGCGTAACTTTTAGCCTGAATATAATTTAAATGGGTTACAGTTATATAAAAATCCACCCCCCTGTAGCTAGGGACAAATTAGCTAGAGACAAAAAGTGCTTTTTATACCAGGGTGTAAACATGTTTATTTCTGCTGTAAAGTTGGGCATCTTCATTTGGGGGTTTATGGAGTTTGATCACTTTTGAAACCAGCCTCAAGTGGCCAATCAAGGACCAGCAGCATTTCCACACTTCATTCTTCAGCCCGGGAGGTTGTTCTTTGTGTCAAACAAAACAAACGCGGTACCTCAAAACTTTGGTTTCTCTTCATCAGTGATGAGTTTTTCTTAATTACCAAGCTTCTGTCACTTCAGTCTCACCTCAAGCGAGTTTCTGGTTGTGTAACCTATAAAAAGAGTAACTGAAAATGTTGTTTTTAATTAGCAATATAGTTGCCACATATAAAAATGATTGATAAGTTGCCAAGCAGGCACCAGTGCAATATGGCTTAAATAAGATGGATTTAATAATAGCAATAATGATCATGTATTTTGTCTCAGTTTCTTTGCAACTAAACACATTAATTTGATAATAAATAATTTGTTTGCCATCTGCCACTGTGGCCATTTAATAAAAAAACATCAGTATGTAATATCATTAAAACCCTTTTAATGATTTGATCTTGCTGCAATGTTGGATTATTTTTTACTGCCATTGCCTTATTCCTTTTGTGATATTTAAAACAAAACAAACACCATCACACATCATTTACATACCAAAAATGTCTCCTCTTGGCAGGGCTCATTTCATTTTCATCACCCCCCTGAGAAAGTCTTTGTCAAAGTCAAACAGGACACATGCCACCACCTGAAAAAACAATGTCATGGTAGGATTAGATATCGGCTATTTGTCCCTCTTATGCACCGCTGCATAAGTAGATTTATTATTCAGTGTTACTTTCTAGCACTGCCCTTCATTCACAACACATATCCCCCAGTATGCTCACCTACCTCATAACACAGTGACTGTAATGTTAGCCTCATTGACAGTTAGCCTACAGCTACAGGGGTTAGACCCTCTGTCCTCGGGGTCCTTTTAGAGTCTGCGCGGTAGGTCGCGCTTTCTCTTCTCACCGTGTTTCACCGAGGGCGGAGGGGCGGAGGGGCGGAGCTTAGCCCTCCACACACACGGAGCAGCGGGGCACAGGAGAGACAGGTGAAGTGAAATAACAATACTGGAGTTGACAACAAGTCATTACGTTACTGTAAGTGCAACAGACCTTTTCCACAGCAGCCATTTTGACCTGAAATAGTAGGGTAAATGCAGGTGTTACCAATGACACTAATTAAGGTGCATCTTGGCTCATTGGAGAGGCTCTGCTACACTAAACGGAACATACCCTTAATTAGTGTCATTGGTAACACCTGCATTTACCCTACTGTTTCAGGCCAAAATGGCTGCTGTGAAAAGGGGTCTATGACATATATACAGTGTATGGATGATTAACATGAACTGCACTGGCTGGTGTAGCTTTATCAAGGTTAGCTTTAGCTGAAATGGCTGGTGGCTATCAGTGTTTTCAGTTAAACTAGCTCGGCACACAGTCTGAGGAAATGCTGTGCTGGGGAATTAAATAATTGATTGAATATGTGCCAAGACCAAATATATATGAGTGAATTATTAAAACAAATATTACTTAGAGTTAAACATTAAATAAATATTTATTTAGAGATAGAGAGTTAAAAATTTTGACTGGTTTGATAATATATTTTTATATAATGTCAGTTTCTGGGCTTCACGTCTTTAAACTACTTGTTTTGCCCAACTGTCTAAAACTGCAAAAACATTGAAATCTGTTTTGTCCTGGCCAAATGGCTTCTTGGTTATGTAACATAAGCCAATACAGAACTAGACAACAAAGAAGAGAAGGATATGATCAGTTGAAAACTTGCATGACTTTAATAGTTTTTCTGTCCTGTTGGCAAAGCATGAGCACAATGTCCCTTTTGGTGTCCTTCAGTGCATGATCTATAAACTCCTGAAAATAGCAAGCTCTCTTTTGGTATGTAAGACAGAGCCACTTCCAAAGATGTGGAGCACGCCTAACTTATATCCCCACTAGGCTTAACCCAGATCCTTAAAGGCTGGATACATTCTGTGGTCTAGACAGCCGGTTGATTGCTGATTCTCACGTCAACACCTTCCTTCTGGGAATTCAGGTAAACAACAGTAACAAGAAAGAGTGGAATGGCATGATGGGAGAGCTCCTGGGAGGCCTGGCTGACATGATTGTAGCCCCGCTGACTATAAACAACGAACGAGCCCAGTACATCGAGTTCTCCAAGCCCTTTAAATATCAAGGCCTCACCATCCTGGTTAAAAAGGTGAGTGTCCGCCTTCAGCCCATTTGGTGCTCTTTCAAGTCAAACAACTACTGGGGAGTTGTATTGTTCAGTTGTGGAATCCTCAACTCTCTAAGGCAGTTTTTATTCCTACTTTATCACAGTTATCCTCCTAAGTCCCCAGTGCAACCAACCGTTATCTTACATCTTGATTTCTACAATAGAGCAGTTAACTTAACACAATGAATCTATCCTTATTATGTTACCTTATATGGGCAGCAGAGGTTGTCACATTTAAAAGGTGAACAACATCCCAGGTTATTGACAATGTAACAATGCATATTTTTGGTTCATCATCTGAAAATTGTTGAATTTTTACACAGCAACCACTGGTTTTTGCTGTATCACGTAGCTGTCTTTTTAGCCCATTTGCTGCATACCTTTACATCACACCTGTCCATTTTGCCAATAATGCTACTGTACTTCATCATTCTACAACCAACTTCGGTGTGTGTTTTCAGGAAATCCCTCGCAGTACACTGGACTCGTTCATGCAGCCGTTCCAAAGCACGCTGTGGCTGTTGGTGGGTCTTTCGGTGCATGTGGTGGCGGTGATGCTTTACCTACTAGACCGGTTCAGGTACAAGGGGGACCTGTGTTTGTATGTCTGTGCCCATGGTGTGTGTGTGTGTGTGTGTGTGTGTGTGAGAGAATCAGTGACTGTGTGCGTGTGTGTGTACATGCACTCCTGCGCGGTGCAGATCTTCCCTCGGTGTGGACACAAAGGCAGACGGAGGTGAAGATTGGCTCCAACCATCCCACCGCTCTGTCCGTGTGCATCCGTCTTTGTTTGTTTGTCCCTCTTGCTTTGCTTGCCCATGTTCAGTTCCCTTTCCTGCCTGGGGTCGCCAGGGTTTTCCTCTCTACAGCTTCTTGGTGATTTCTCATTTTATCTCCTGCAACCCTCCCAATTTTTTCCTTCTAGCCCGTTTGGAAGATTTAAAGTAAACAGTGAAGAAGAAGAAGAAGATGCCCTCACCTTATCATCTGCTATGTGGTTCTCCTGGGGAGTGTTGCTGAACTCTGGAATAGGAGAAGGTGAGACAGAGCCAATGAGAAAATAAAGAAAATCATTACTGAAAATCTCCAAGTTATCACTTCTCTGCTGGTAAAGGTTCCTGTAATACTGATTGCCTCGGTCTTTACACAGTTTTTTTTCTTTCGTAACAAGACCAAAATCAAGGCGTTTGTGGCTCCAGGTGTTGCCTCGCTGTCATGTTGTTCTTTGAGGCTGACAAATTAATTCCTTTCAAATCACATTTTCTAAAGAATGACACTGCTGCAGCTTGTCTTTTAACAGTTACCTTTTCCTGTTTCATTTGTCCTTCAGTGTTTTCTTTTCATGTCTAATATTTTAGTGGGCTATATTTTTTGGTAATTTATTTTGTTTTGGTTTTTGTTGGATTTTTTTTAAATACACAGGTAGAGGGTTTATTTTGATTTACTTTAATATCTGGGTTAATGATCCTTGTTGTCATTACTTGCAGTAGTAGTAGCAGCAGGGCTTATTGGTATTAGAGGGTGGAAGGATCTAGCTAACTAATCCAATTAGAAAATAATAAGTAGTGAGCTGAAAGGTCAAAACTTGAACTCACCACACAGGTGCGCCGCGCAGCTTCTCAGCGAGAATCCTGGGCATGGTGTGGGCTGGATTTGCCATGATCATTGTAGCTTCTTATACTGCCAACCTGGCTGCCTTCCTGGTGTTGGACCGGCCTGAGGAGCGCATCACCGGCATCAATGACCCAAGGGTGTGTAGGCTATGTTAATGCACAACAGTATACACCAATGGAAGTTCTTAGTATTCACTACAATGACTGTTTGTGTCTTGTCCCTGTCTCTTTGTGCAGCTGAGAAACCCATCGGACAAGTTCATCTATGCCACAGTGAAGCAGAGCTCTGTGGACATCTACTTCCGGCGGCAGGTGGAGCTTAGCACCATGTACCGCCACATGGAGAAGCACAACTATGAGAGTGCCGCCGAGGCTATCCAGGCCGTTCGTGACAAGTGAGTCTCGGCCAGGCCGGGCCGACCAGAGCACGTGTCGGCCGGCTGCTCGACCTATCAGTAACACAGAACAGGGCCAGACCAGTCAGCTCGGGGGGGGGACATGGACCTCTGGACCAGATGGAAGCGGCAGGACTTACTGCTGCATTCCCTCTGATCCAGGCCCATCGCCCAGCCAAGACAGATGTTCAGGGACAGGAGCAAGGGTGTGGACGTGTCAACAGCAGTGGCACCAGTGTGAGGTTAAGCTAACATTGAGTCGAGGAGCACCCTTTTTCAGGTTGTACCAAGACGAACATCTTTGAGATGGGGAAAATCCAATGGGGGACGCGCCCTCACCCATCTGGCATTGGATTTCATTTGGGCCATAAGCAGCGGTAGAGATTGCTGGTAAACGCTGAATGACACACACGATCTGGTGTGCGAGAGAGAGAAGGGTGGGAGCCGTAAATGTGTATGTAAATCATTGTACTGTCGCACCGTAACCCCCTCCTTCCCCTCCTCCTCCTCCCTCCTTCCTCCTCCTCCTCCTCCCTCCCCCTCCCCCACAGCAAGCTGCATGCTTTCATCTGGGACTCTGCGGTGCTGGAGTTTGAAGCTTCGCAGAAGTGCGACCTGGTGACCACGGGAGAGCTGTTTTTCCGTTCGGGCTTTGGCATAGGCATGCGCAAGGACAGCCCCTGGAAACAGAATGTGTCCCTGGCCATTCTCAGGTCTGTCCCAGCCGAAGCTGCATTACTCGTATGACTTTTTTTTTTCTTTTTTTTTTTTCTTATCAATATGATTTTCTGGTCACGTATTGACCATTTACAGCCATCCAATACATCGCCTTATGTTACATCTTCTCTCTCTGTATCTCCCCTCTCCTGCCCTCTCTGTCTGTTTGTCTCTGTCAAGTTGTATGTTTGTCACCTGTCCTGCTGTCTCAGTTTCATTTATGTTGCTATCTGGGAGTGAGCGGCTCAAATATTTCGTCATTTGCGGCGTGTATTAACTTTGTTACCTCTCTCCCCACCACCCCCAACCCCCTGCAGTTCTCATGAGAACGGCTTCATGGAAGACCTAGATAAAACCTGGGTGAGATACCAGGAGTGTGACTCAAGGAGCAATGCCCCAGCCACACTCACCTTTGAAAACATGGCAGGTATGGTCCTTATCGCGTAGAGAAAGCGTTAAAAGTGATTGGACAAAAACTGCAGTGGTAAGGTACTGTAGTGCTTTTTTGTCCAATACCTTTACAAAATCGTTGTTTTAGTGTCGGCGTGGGTGCTCTGTGGAAGTGTGCCGTACAGTATATTGTGCTGTGGCTTTGTGCGGTTGTGGTCTTCAATTAATAGTATGTAGTTTACAGCCGCCGTCGTCAGTAGGAGCTGGTTGATAAAAGGAGGGGCGGCCACTGAGCAAGACAGGCAGACCATGCATTCATGCTCAGTGGAAGCGGCGGGGTTGTAGACCATCATCTCACGTTTCTCTGCTCTGTTTCTGTTTGTCCGTCCCTTCCCAACAGGTGTCTTCATGCTGGTGGCTGGAGGCATTGCAGCCGGGATCTTCCTCATCTTTATCGAAATCGCCTATAAGCGCCATAAAGACGCCCGCAGGAAGCAGATGCAGCTGGCCTTTGCGGCCGTCAATGTCTGGAGGAAGAACCTGCAGGTAGGATTGATCCCCTCTGTCTGTTCAAACCCAGTGTGGAAGGGCCAAGACTGGGGTGCAAGAGAGCCAACAAAGCCCCCTCCTCATGGGGGTCGATTTTTGTCTCTCAGCCTTTTCTTTATGTGGTGGTCAGACTGCCAGATCACCGTATGAGAAACCGTGATCTCTGATGCCTTCATGTACTGTAAGGCATCCTGAGTGGCCACCCTGTAGGTCCTAACAGTTCCCAGAGGCCAACAGCGCCCGTGTCTCTTGTGTGTACCTGCAGGAGAGTAAGGAGGCTTCTGGAAGTCAAGCTGTGGCCGGGACCCCCTCATTAGTATGTAACCAATTAGCAGAACCATTTCCACCCCCATGCCTCTCTCTCGCTGTTAGAGTAGCAATAAGATGATTACCCTTGCGACCCTCTAACATGATGGACATCCGAATTAAAACTTCACCTTCCACGTCCATAGCATGAACTAGTATTTTCTAAGCTGCTGCTGTGGCGCTTATACGCTTCATGAGGTCAGATGATGTGGACATGAAAAGCAAATAAAAAGTAGCAAATGTCCTGCCAGGAACGCCATGAAAACAATAATAACAGTGATTACTGTATGGTCATCATTGATTTCCTTCACTCCGGCAGTCATGCTAACAGCAGCCAGGAACTAACAATATAAATAGAGCATAAAGATTAAAATCAATGCCCTGGCTCAATCACGCCGCAGTGACTCTCCCGGTATAGCCATCATAACTTTAAAGTGAACCATGCTACAGTGTACAGTATGTCTCCTTATCCACTGCAGTGTACAAAATGCAGACACCAAATATGAGAATCTTATCTTGCATGCCAGATGCTTCATGCGACGCAATGAAAGCAGAAGAAGGGGTCAGAAGAGGGTCAGTTCACCCAAATTTCAAAAATTCATATTTTTCTACTTCACCTAGTGGTATCTATCCATGCAGATAGTTCTGGGCATACACGCTGGGTTTTTGAGATATCTGCCTCTGAAACTTCTGCCACCAAACCAATGAGGTCGGGGAAGTGGACGTTTGCAAGGCAAGATACTACTAGGAGTAAATGAGAAATGTCTTTTCCTTTTTTGTAATTTGAGTGAACCCACCCTTTAAGCTTCAATCAAATGATAAGGTCCTCCGCACAGCCAACGAAGAACATGATTTGCCCCCTACACTCCAGGCAATCAAACATGGCTGTGAAGCGTTAGAGCATTGGAGCGCCTCTCCTCCACCATCACACTCCTCCCTTTCCTTTGCTCTTGATGGTTTCACTCCCTGATTGGATTGGAGGTGCAGGGGTCCACATTTAATGGCCGGTCACGCAGCCACTGTTATGAGTCATGTTATGTGGCCCTGGCAGCCTGTCTGCTGACTCTATGTAAGCCTTGAACCAAAGCTCAGTGTTTGGCCCTGCTGAATAGAGACAGCAGGGCTGGAGGAAGGTACAGTATAAAATCACAAGTTCCTGTCAGCAAATCAATGTCCTTCTAAGAGTGTCTGCCATCGACCTGACTCTGTATGTAACTGTCGTGTGTGTCTTCATATGGTGGTGCGTTCTCTAGGCGCATTCAGCAGACGAATGCATGCGGGGGGGTGGGGGTGGGGGGTCACTGAGAAAGGAGAGGGA